GCCCCCCAACCCTCCACTGGCCATGCGGGGACAGGGCACGCCGACTGCGCCCCCAATCCCACATCCCCAATCCCTCACCGGCCACGAGGGGGCAATGCACGCCGGCCAGGAGGGGCAGCCACTCAGGGACAGGGCGCGCTGACCAGCCCCTGCCGCCCCCACCGGCCAAGCCCAGATTGTGGCATTAGCAGGACAGGCTGGAATGGGTCCCTCGGAAACCGCTCTGGGTGGCCCTGGCCCAAGGCAGAGTTTTCCCCCCCATCCCCCACCACCCACAGCTGGGCAGACGGGGGTGGGGGAAGGGACAGACGCGCCCCAAGGGTGGGGACTGCCAGAGGCACCGCATCAGCCTTAGCGGGGGAGCTGGGAGCCTGGACTCTCCCCCAACGCGGGGAGGGGAGAGGGGCTGCCCAGGGTGGGGGCCAAGCCCCTGCCCCTCCGGCCTTACCCGTCTCTCCACCCGCTCGTTCTGCGCCCTCCTCTCCTCCGCCTGCTTCTTCAGCTCCATCAGCTTCACGTCCCGCGTGTACCGCTCCCGGTAGAGACTGTCCTCTCGCAGCTGCAGCTGTTCCTGGGGGGCATCAGCGCTGGCTTAGCCCCCAAGGGACGAGCCGGGGGGAACAGAGCAGCCAATGCTGCTGCTCACCAGCACAGGGCAGCTCTGCAGCTGGCACGGGCCTCCGGGCACTGAGGCAAGAAAGGTCGAGGGGTACCAGACTATGAGCCCCCTGGGGCTGAGCCGGGACGGAGCGGGCCCCCCCAGGGCTAAGCAGGCATGAGGGCCCCCCCCGAGGCTGAGCCGGGAGGTGGGGGCTAGAACGACCCATTGGCCCGCACTGATGTGGGGGGAGGAATAGCCACGCTGATGCCCCAGGAGTCTGCCCTGCAGGCCCCTGTCCCACTGGGTGCTGAACTGAGCCTGCATTTCCCCCACCCCTGCACCGGCGGCCTCCCCATGCCCTGGCAGCATCTCACCTGCACCCTCCTGCCACCCGCCCGTACCTTGGCGGCGTCCCGCGTGGCCTGTGCCTCCGCGTTCATCGCGTGCAGACCACGGAGCTCATGGCGCAGCCGCAGGGCCTCAGCTTCCATCGCATCCAGCTGGGGCTGGGCCGTCCACCTCTGCTCCCGG